CTGTACTTCATGTTAGCAAGCACCCTCTCACATTATCAGGATTCCGCGATCAGATAAGGGATACAGGAACGACATCCTAGTTATTTCACGTCTCAAGCAACCACTGGATAGAATAAGATCTCAAAGATAAGCGCATACTAAAATTATGCAATTAAAACTGTTTTCCTTCGATACGTGTAAAAAATGGCTGAGAAAAAGTATATGTCCCAGATCATATTTCGTGAAGCGTGAATTACTTTACTGCACCCTAAAGTATATACAATTATAACAAGGTCAACCATATTTCATGAGGGTGCACTAACGAAGTCGGGAATTTACAATCAAACCACTGGTGAAATTCCACTTACTACTATATTCCCATCGCTGCTTTACAACACTCGACATGAGTTACGGAAACGCTTTCCAGCATCCTTATTTTAATCGAATGTATTTGAAAGAAACGGAATGATGTATGAATCCTCAACAGCAACTGTCCAAATGTCCTTCAGCACGTGGTGGCAAACAATGACGTTGCTGTTGAGCATCCAGTTGAGATTGAAAACAACACACGTCATAGAATTATAGTTCTGACTAGTATATTGAATTTTCACTATGTCAACATGTTATTGATGGGTACATTCTACAAAATGATCACTAAATTTAGTCCGAAGTCGTCTTGAAAACTCCCAGACACTGCCATCTACGCTATCAATCGCAACTGCTTGTTGAAGTGTTATCAAACTTTATCACCGCCGATGTAGAACGTGAAAAATGGAGAGGTTGATTTACACCATGAAAAATGGAGAGGGAGATACGAGGTGGGCAATAAATCAATCCGCGATTCTCTGTTGAGTTGGCTATTAGCCAAGTAAACAAGTTCCCGACAACGCCTCATCACCTGACTACTGCGACTTGTGCGAGACGGTGTGTAAGAGTTGTGGGATGAAATGAGCACAGAAAACGGCTGAACAGTGACCTCGAAATGTAGCGACGTTATCGAAAAAAATCGTATTATCGAGATTTGAAGTTCTGATATAACCTAGGACAATCGAGAACTATTTAAACAAACTTCCCAAATTTTTAATAAAGTACTCACTCCTAGTTCCATCAAACGTAGGGAATTACATATGCAGCTCACCATAGAATTCGTAACAAACACTGAGCATCGAAACAAATTTACCACATATTTCATTACGGTACAAAAAAAAACGAAATGTTTTCTCAACTAAACAAATGTGTGTCTAAAGAAAAGCATTGTGCTCAGTATTTGAAAAAAAACCCCTGGTGAAGAATAATAACAGGGCCCTATCCATTTGTAATAAGATTCGGTGTAATATTAAAAACAAGCTAAAAAGTGCTTTAAAATGTCCGGAAGCCATAATAAAGAGAGAAGCTGTGTAACAAACCGAGTAAAAATTGCAGCAATAAAGTAATCGTAAGCAATCAATAAACCAAAGTAAGACCAGTGATTGGAATAATCAATTCGACAAGCAGTTAAACTTTTAAAAGAGTCGAATAAACTACCTGGAAAGGATGCTGCATCTTCCTTGGCGTGGAAACATTGTTGGCCACTGGCGACGAAGCTGCAGCTATACCGTGAACAACAGTGCTTCCAAATGGGAAACTTCCGCTACTTCTTTGTGCTGATGCCGCTAATGAACCTGATTCGCGACGTTCCATCTAAAAACTTCAGTAAAAACTCCAATAACTACATCTTGATCTCTTGTCTATCAAACGAACACCCAATCATATTACTTGCAGTTTAGTTTACAGTAATAAACTTCACATCTAATGCTAATATTTGGTGGAACTATGTAGCAGATAGATGATGAATGTCTCATAAAAGCACTTAGTAGATTCGCCATTCACTAAAAAACTTTCTATTCATTGCTATCAATAAGCTACTACATCTTTGGAAGTACTCACAATGTATAGCGTTGAGAAATATACAGAATAAGACCCTCCAGTTGATAAACCCATGAGAAATTGGCAATTGAGCAAATTCCCACTTTAATAAACGTAAAAACTGGAGATAATCTCGCCGTATTTTATACTGTTGCTTAAGTTTCCACGACTACTAAACATCGTATCAAAGATACTTTGTTTCCCAAGGAAATTTCTGTCTAACAAGCTACTATATCTATACAAACTCCCTTCATGAGACAGTCAACGCGTTTTTCGATTCCCTACTTCGAAAGCTTTACCACCTTAGGCAAACTCATTCTGTGAGTTTTCTACAATCTTAATGGAAGCTCAATGTTCAAACTTCAATCTGACAATGAATATTCACCGCTTATTCGTTGTCTCCAAATTTCAAGAATCCAAAAAACGACTCCAAAAGAGAGATACTATATGATTATACACGATTTAGAACCACACCCCTACTAACTTTTTGATACGGGTGGGGTCACACCTAACGAAATAACAATGATGGCTTTTAAGAGATTATAGTTTGGGCGTCGACTTTTCACAGAGTTCTAGTGTTCACAGAATAAGGCTTCATAAAAACACCTATACAAGCCCTGGAGAAAGCCAAGTCAACCTGAGATTAGCCATTCGGAACCAGAAACCGTGTTAGCGACATCGTGTCATCTCATCAACAACAGCTCATAGCATCAAAATACCTTCATTAATGCCGAGGTTTATTGATAATCCGCTTTTCGAATTATTACGTAAAACAATGGATCAAATAAAACTAAAAACTCGAAATCAATATTGCATTGTATTTTTGATCAGTTGAAAGTTATTTTAAAAAAATGTTGGAATTTCTAATATTATACGAAATCGTGACTGTGACCATCGTTTTCTCAGCCACCAGGGCAAAAGTGCACTTGACGATGAATGAAATCGATTTTTTCCTGGACTAAATTTGATACCTTACGAAACGAAGCACGATGAATGGATGAATTTCACCGAAACACTTGATAACCATCTCATTATGTTATCACATTAAAGAAAGACACTACCGTACTCTTAGTTTCACGTAAGGAAATCCAATTACTATTCGGCATCTGAATGAGAACTTAGTTCCACTTCCAATAAGGTTTCGATGAACTGCGTGAAAACATGTTTTCTGGTTAAGATGAACGTTTTCCGCCGAGATAATGGTGAGGTAACAGAAAAATAGATTAATCACACAACGATCTCGTATGCTAAGTGCTGATCAAGCACTGATCTGAGTGGTCTCTGCTACTAACGTAAAGGATGTCCAGTGAGGAGGAGGCAGAGACAAGCAGATAGACAGTGATAGACAGGGAGAGAAAGAGAGAAACAGCGAAAGATATGGGAACAGAAAAATTAAAGAGAAGGTGACTTCCAACAAAACTGTTTAACATCTACCGCTTAACAAAACACTAACGAAACCGTGCACCCGCAATTAACCTTAGTGAGCAACGAGATCACTGCTTCTTAAGCATCCTTCACCTACGAAAACCAGTAAAACAGAGAGGAGGTAAAAATGTGACTCACTTTCGAATGAAGACTAAGAGCGTTCGCCTCGTATGGTTCATCATCGTAAAAACGTGAGATGTTCATAGAAGTCTGGCAATGCTCTCACCACGATACTGCCTCGTGGTAGTGGCGACACGATTAAAATACACGCTGACGCCAATAGCGAGGAACGAAAACAAACAGCTGATAGAATGTATGAAGGGGGGTACTGGGGGCGGTCGGTCGCGACCAATCACTAGAGTCCACCGATCGAGCCGGGAATGACGCTGAAGTACGATATTGCGAAAAACTCATCCTCAGAACCCTCAACACCCAATGCACACAGAACTCACTAGTGTTGCCCAAAATCGACAACATCTGGTATAACTTTCTGGTAACAACTCGGAATTTCAGTTCCAAATCCGTTGCGCTGAGCAGCCAACAAAATGCACCACATACCGAAATATATTCATTACCCATTTCGCAACTAGTCACTACTATCGCTGTCCTTAATGTCGCTACCCACCACACGACAAATCTACTCCTTTGAGTTGATGTCACGACAGCACAGTTGCCACATCGATTTCACTCTATTACGCTTGTCTTATCAACCATGACTAAACGAAAACGTCAAGGACACGGCTATAAATTCCATACCGCCGTCGACCTACTCAAGCTTACATGAAAACATGAGCGAACTGGACTTTTTGATGTCCACAACTACAACTATTTTGGTCGCCAAACGTTCTTCCATCGAAAAAATCGGATGATGTTCCCACTTTTGTTATCGCTCCATTTGTTGAAAAAGTAGCACTAACGACGCATATAAATCCTGGTTCTGAACTTCGCAGATGGCTAACAGTAAGACCACAAGCAGCAACGGAACAGCTAGTGAAGTCTCCATTCGAAAAAGAATCCAAAAGAAGCCGGAAGAAAAAATGCAAACAAATGGCTGTCACCAGTCCCACGGTTTCACCCACTACTAACATTACACTCGTCCTATTGCTATTATTTTCCAATGCCTCATTAAACTAAACTAGAGAGACGGAAAAAGAAACCCTAGAGAAAAGTTCAGAAACACCAGATTTATCCTCCAAAAGCTCATCTCTGCTACTCATAAACTAAGTAAACTAGTTAAACGAATATGAATAGCATTTTTTCATTCAAATAGAGTTCAAAGGCTGTGGTCAACACCAATGGACACGTTGCCGTGTAATGCCAGAAAAAGTGACTTGGACATTCTATGAAAAACGTGCCACGCAAGTATTTGCTGCTGGTTATCGCAGGATAAGGCTATCAAAAGTCTAAGCTTTCAAAAAACATTCTTTATCTAAGAGTTCGAGGATCGAGCCAAACCGGTGGTATGAGACTCTAATAACAAATGTGATAAAAACAGGGATACCTTGGCAGGATCGAGTGAGTATTTGCAGTAACTGTTTCCATTCCACACATAACTAGGAGGTGACGGTGCTGTGGCGCCTAACATATCACTCCCGTACGAGAAAAACGTGTGGAATGCGTGAAACCGGTATGAGGAAAAACTCGTAACAGACAGCGAGATTCCTCGTTTGAATTTTAACACTGAACCGAACTTAGTATCGTTTGTGAACCTCTGCCTGAGGTTGTCCTAGGCGGGACACGGCCGTGTGATGCCCCCATGTGTTGGCTGTTCGCCAAAAGATGACGACGGCCGGCTCACTCCGGCCAACCAACCGCCTCTTGCCGCCGCACACTGCATCGCCCGCGTCGCCAGGCAGATCCGTCGGGGCGATGGATGGCGTCACGCACCGCTCCGGGCGGCCCTGTCGGAGCGCTGACAGAACGACTGCCTTGCCGGCGACTGCCGAGAACGGCCACGGCCAGCGCCTCAACCCCTCCGACCACCAAAGGCGAATGACCTCAGGTAACAGAGAAAAAACGAAAGCCGATTTATAGATGAGCACTTTGTAATCGATTAACCGAAGCATGCTTCACAAGTTTAAATATTACCACAACAATGATCACTGTTGATAAATCCAAAGCTAGGGTTATGCTAAATCGCATAATTAAAAAACGCTAATTCTTATTAGGTCGAATTTACCTGGTAACGTGAAAAATCATTCGAGTTGGTCGTAATTGCAATATGTGGTTTCGGGTTAAAGACAATTCCTTGTCAATAAACAAGCACCTTAAACAACTACTTACTTGGACACTTGGACGCCTGTCCTCACCGGTTCTGTCAGCCCCAGCATATTCTCCACTTTTCAGAGTTCTGCTGGTTTAGCCATGGTGTTTCCGTGGAGTCTCGAGATGGGCCTGGCCAAAGTCTACCCCAGGTCGTCATCGTCACAGGCAGTCGCCGCCCTTGTGGATCAGAGGGGGATTTGCCACCATACCTTGATACCAGGACGGTAGTGGATCCGGGTATTGTTCTACACTTAGCTAGGCAATAAATTACGTTTATTCTAGTCTGATTCTTTGAAAACGACAGTTCGAAGAGCACTACAATTCACATGGTGATTTGCTCGATTCCGCGTCCAGGGCTAATCATGAGTTCTCACTCTTCTAAAGTTTTAATGTGCCTCCGAACTTGTCTGACAGGACAGAAAACAGAGACTTGATATGTCAGAAGGTCCATACAAGCCATTGTTTAGGGAAAATAAGCATTCGACCTGTACTGCACAATGTTTAGTGGAGTCAAATACCTGGCGCAAAGGATGAACCTATAAAGACCACTCTCTATCTCGTACGGAATAATTCTTAGCTACGTTTTTAGCTAGCTACGTAGCTACATTTATCTCTCTAGCATAGATTTACGTGGATCCTACGTTCACCTGCATCACCTGTAGTCCCGTTGATCGTCGAGTGACTCGAGCGTGCACCAGTAAATTTTCCATTTTTCCCTGTGGCCTGCAAAAGTAGCCCAGTGGGTTCTGCTCGCTGTAGGGACTCGTCGAGCATCATATCTTTCTATTAGACTCTTCGTAAAGAACACTGACCATCGGGTCCGTGGTCTTCCTGCTGTGCGTTTAACTTCCCGAGGAATCCAGTCTCTAACGCCTCTTTTCCATCGTTTGTCATTCATATGCATTACGTGTCCCGTCCACCTTATCTTCGACTGTTTGCCGTACAGAACGGCACCTTTGATTCTTGATCGTTAACGTAGGTCGGAGCTTCGGATCCCAACCCTTACTTATGTGAAACAGGATACTCCTAGCATCCTCCTTTCGTTCAGAGTTCTGCCAATCCTGTTTAAGATGACTCGAGTGAAAACTTTGTAGACGACGGACTGCAAGTAGATTGAGCGATAGCTGCTGATAACGTGTAGGTCACCTTTCTTGAACAATAACACGGTCTTGCTGGTCTTCCACTGAGTAGGAACCTTGCATTCAGACAAGCAACGTGTGAAGAGCCGAGCCAGTGTGTTTACGAGGACTGGTGGAATGTTCTTCAGGTGTTCTGGTTTTATCCGGCCCGGACCTCGTGGTGTTCGATTTTTCACCGACGAAATGGCATGTCGGATCTCGGAAGAGACAACTGGTGGCACAACGTATCCATCCTCCTTTATTTCATATAACGGAAGGTGGACGTGGCTGTCGAAGCGACCTCAGTAGTAATCGTGAATGATTTCCCACATTGCCTTTCTGGACGTTGTAACTGATCCGTCTGGGCGTCGGAGTTCAATCATCTCGGTCTTCTAATTGGCGAAGCTTCGGTGGGCGTTGCGAATGCTTTTCCGTGCCTCTGCAACTTCGACCATTACTGCTGCTCTTTTCTCTTTAATAGCTTTTATCGCTTGCCTGCATTGTTTTGCAAGTTGGATCGTTAGTTCGTGGTTCCATGCAGCTCGTGCGATTCTACGCTGGCGTATGAGCTCGAGTGTTTCTGCAGACAGACGTCTCTTTGTGACTTTCCAACTCTCAGCTTTTCATTGCGCTAATATGAAGATATTGAATGAGTCGATCGCATTGCTCGTCACATCTTCCCAACAGCCGTCCAATGAATTGAATAGGTCCCAGTTTACGGTGGTTCTGGGACTTCGGTTTTGGAATTTAGTGGCTTTCAACCCTTTCCGCGAGAAGTAGAATCTTGCCCGAAGAAGACGATGGTCTGATCCCGTGTAGAATTTTAGAACAACAGCGACATTGGCCAGGTAAAACCTTCTATCTACTGTGATGTGGCCTATTTCGTTGTGGCACTGTCCATTGGGAAACTCTCACGTCCAGCGTCGAGGGTGGGGCTTCTGGGACTGCAAATTACCATGAATGGTTCTGGTCGCCATGATAAACTCAGACAGTTGCTCACCCTGTTCGTTCCATTCTAATCCGTGGGTCCCAATGTGATGTTCCTCAGACGTTCTTCTTGGTCCAATCTTGGCGTTGAAATCTCCAATGATGACGTTGAAGAATGTATGGTGTTCTCTGCAGAACTTCTCCAAGTCCATATAGAACGCTTCGACTTCTTCTTCGTCATAGTTTGATGTCGGCGCGTAAACGACGAGGATTGTCAAAGCCGGTATCGATCCACATCTTTTTAATCGTAAACGTCTGATTCGGGTTGTAAACTGTTCGAATGATTCGATGTTCATGGACAAACTCGTGTTGACGAGAACGCCGATGCAACCGACTCCTCCGCTTCCGCATGTTCCGAGGAATCCGAGGAACATTTCTTTTCCGGTGTCATAGACGGTGTTGAATGCGTGGAGTCGTCTCATCTCGGCGGCAGGACGATGACGTCGTACCTTATCCTTCTTGCCTGCATGAGCAAGCATTCTATCGAGGACTCGGATGCAAGTGTACGTGCATTATAGGTACGGATCGTCACCATAGTTCTTTCAAATCCAGGCAGCTTCCATTGGCCCTGATATCTTAGCAGCCTCTCCGTACTCATCTTACCCAATGGTGCGAAATTGGAGGCTCTTTCGGGGTCAAGAGAATGAGACCAGTTTTTTTTTTTACTGTGTTTAGCACTTTGATACCTACGTATAGCTTGCTGGGCTCTCCCAAAGTGGACATCGACTTTATTTGTTGGAGGCGACTCCTAACCGCCTCCCATATACTTCCCAGTCACTTGATTGCAGGCTTTTGGCCGAATTGACTCGTAGAATACAATCCGCATAAGCAAGAACGCACCCATATACACATGCATGAATACACCTAGCAAATGCAGAAAGTATATGCCAAACCGGCGCAGCAGAATCAGGGTGTCCATCCCTTGGGTCCACCTGCGTCTCGGAGAAGCAAAAGCAATAGCTTTTGGTCCGCGATTGACCCTCTATCCGCCGCCCGGGGACGCGCCACGTAACCTCGCTATTAACCGGCTCGAAACCCCTCATACGAGGGAGATCCGTTGGGATCTTACGTTATCTACAGGTAATTCACCAACCTATTCTCACCCAATGTAATATCTGTCGAGTTTTTTCCATGATCTGTGGAGCAGGTCAAGACAACTTCTCCATGTTTCTAACTTCCACCTGGCGCGAAAGGCCCACGACTTTCCTTGGGCTTGTTGTTCGTTGAAAGCTAATAGAACATACGAGGATCTCCACCACTCTTTTCATTCATTCTCTTCATTAGCAAACACTCAAATAATGTTCACTTCAGTATTCACACTCCTATATTATCGACGTATTAGAATCATTCGTAAATCCTCATTCAATCGATTACACTTTATTAATACGGTTTTTAATTATATAGTAATTGAGTAATTACACATTATTTTATGTCAGTAGTATTGCATTATTTTATTACTTATCCAAAAGTTCAATTACAATGATTTAAAATAAGGCATAAGAAATCCTACGTGGAGAAGCGTAAGAAAAGGATCATTCCATATCGAACTAACTGATCTAAAACTAATGCTTAACGCTCTATCCATCGCCGTTTTAACCCTCACAACATTTCGAAAAAAAACACTACGCCACAAAAAAAAGACAAGAATTTAGTATCAGATCGAAAAAATAACCAACTCCAAATAAACTGCTTCGACATAGGCGACGATGTATAAGTGGCTCTCCTCAATGCATTGTCAGACGTGCTACGTGCTCAAAGCACAGCCTCTTATTTTTAAGAACTGTTTCAACAAGAGTTTAACACTCCGCACTCCGACGTAATCACAACGCTGATGGTCCATTTGAACCCAACAAAAGACTGGATACTTTATACTAAAACAAAGGCAGCTGTGAATGGGAGGTTAAATACCGATATCAAGCCGACCAAGTTAAGGAAGTATATGGAATAGAAGCAGTGCTGTCTCCACAGTATTCGACTTGATGCAACCACAAACACCCACATCACGACATCAACCAAGCTGTGGATTATCGACTCGGATCAATGCGACTCTAACGAAGGCGAAGGCGCAGAAACGATAGCCCAATAAAAGTGTTTTAAAATACCAACCTCGTATCAGCTCAATCATTTAGAAAACTGATTATTGTTACCGAGATTTAATGAAAGTTGGTCTTTAAGGTATCAACAAAGTATATTCGAGAGGAAGAGAGAATCTCGTAGCCCTGAAAAAACGGGCACAAACCATTGATAACGTAGTGCTAAGCGCTACCATAGCGACAAACTTGACTTAGGCGCTTCACTTGTAAAATCAAAAAACCACGCCAATCACGCCGCAGATGCGAAATCAACTTCGTTTTAGCTACTTCGTTTGCAGTATCAATCATCTGATAGAGTCCCGCCAACATCAAAAAACATTGCGAAAGTGATGGATTCGACATCGGGTGGTGAGATGACAGCTGTACTCTCAATGGCATTTCAAGATTCCTTTTCAAGAATCAAGATTTCCAACAAAAAACGTAAGCCTTTGCTTGAAGTTTAAAATGTTCATTTCCACTTACATTAGTATACCTCTGAAAAGTGTCGTTTCAAACTCGGCTTAAACAATACAATACGTATAGTTCGAAGATGAATTGTGATCCAGAAAAAATTTTAAAAAGCAACGTTGATTGTGAAGAAAAAATTCCAAAATTTCATGACAT